ATTTTAATAACGTAAGATTGAAATAATATTTATGTAACAAAAAACCCGCATAACCCAAAAATCCGACAAAATCAAAACAATTCAAACTGATATAACTGGTTTGATTATTTTTGATAAAAATAGAACCAATCAGGTCCATATACATCCCTATATAAAGTTAAAATAGCAAGGGCTAACCAGTTTTTGGACTAGTCATTCAAAAATATCCAGCGTTTGCAAAGTCATTGAAAAATAGCCACTATTTTACTGCAACAGGGACCGATCCAGCATAATATACTAAAGATCGGTGCACCTATATATGAACTTCCAGCATATTATGCTAGAACTCCAACACTGGAAAGTTCCAGCATAATATACTGGAGATTGGAACACCTGTGTATGAATTTCTAGCATATTATACTGTACCGGTATATTATTTTGGAACTCCAATATATTATGTTGGAGGTACAGTATACTTATGCTGGAAATCCATTATAATATGTTGGAGTTCCAATATGCTGGAACTCCTATATATTATGCTGGAGTATTTTCCTGTGACGATCTGGCCAGTCGTCTCATGAGTTACTGCTCCGTTTCCTCCATTTCTGCTTCTTATTGTTTTGTCTATCGGTTCTATATGTGATCTAGTTGGTTGGCTCGGGTTCGGAAAGGATTTGGTAAGGTTTGAGACACTTAGTCTCTTTTGAGGAAGTTTAAGTTGGAAAAGTCAACCAGATGTTGACTTATGTGTTAGAGGGCCCGGATGTGAGTTCCGATGATTCGGATAGCTTCGGGAGGTGATTTGGGACTTAGTAGCGTGATCGGAATGAGTTTTGGAGTTTCAGAGTAGATTTAGGCTTGAATTGGCGAAGTTGATATTTTGGCGATTTCCGATTGGTAGGTGAGATTTTCATGTGGGGTCGGAATGGAATTACGAGAGTTGCAGCAGTTCCGTTGTGTCATTTGGGATGTGTGTGCAAAATTTCAGGTCATTCGGACATGGTTTGGTTAGGTTTTTGATCAAAAACGGAATTCGAAATTTTTTGGAAACTTAGGCTTGAATCCGATGAGTTTTGGTTGATTCGATATTGTTTGAGGTGTTTTGAAGATTGGTATAAGTTTGAATAAGGTTATGAGATATGTTTGTGCTTCTGGTTGAGGTCCTGGGGGGCTCGGGGTGGTTTCGGATGGTTGACGGAGAGTTTAGAATTTTTGAAGAAGCTGTAGATTTTCTGCTTTTGGTATTTCCGCACCTGCGGATTGGGGAGCGCAGGTGCGATGCCGCAGATGCGAGGGGGAAGGCCGCAGAAGCGGAAGAAGGTGAGGGAGGCATAAATCGCAGAAGCGGTTGGTGAACCGCACCTGCGATGACATAGGTGCGGCTGGTGCATCGCATGTGCAGAAAGCTGGAGGATAAGTGAAAACCGCAGAAGCAGCTCTTGGACCGCAAAAGCAATACCGCAGATGCGGTGGATTGACCGCAGATGCGAAAATGCCTGGGTCAGAATGTATATATTTCTTCCTTCGCGATTTTCAGAGGGTTTCACCATTTTTAAACATGAGTTCTGGAGTTTTGGGCAATTTTGAAGAGAGAATTCAAGGAGACTTCATTGAATTAAGGATTTTGGGCCTAAAACCCGTTCCTATGGTATTATTTCACGGATTAGAGCTATAATTAATAAAATTTAAAGGTTAAAATTGGGGAAACTAGGGCTTGATATTGGAGACCTAGACTCGAGGATTTGAGGGACCTATTGTGGTCGGATTTTGGTACTTTTGATATGTATGAACTCGTGGGGAGATAAGGAACCCATTGATGTGAATTTTATCGAATTTCGAGATGTGGGCCGGGGGTGGGGTTTTGGTAATTTCGGAATTAATGTTGTAAATTGATTATTTTAGCTTGGGTTTCGTCCCCTTAGCATATTTTGACGTGGTGATTCTGATTTTGGATAGATTCGACGCGAGTGGAGGCCGATTCGAGGGGCAAAGGCGTCGCAGACTAGAGTTTGGACCGGATTGAGGTAGTAATGATTGTAAATGATGTCCTGAGGGTACGAAACCCCGAATTGCACATCGTTGTGCTATATTGAGGTGATGCACACGTTTGATGACGAGCATGAGGTCGTGCACTGTTGGGGATCGTGACTTAGTCTGTCCCGAATGACTATTTTACTGTGTATTTGACTGAAATCTATTTGCTATCATCATGATTTGGGTTGAATGCCATATTTGGGCCTCGTGCCAACTATTTGAACCCTTCGGGAATTTTTATTGATATTTTCTCACTGTTTTGACTTTATACTAGAACTTAGTCATGTTATATTCCACTGTTTTCATACTCAGCCATGTTTAATATGTTTTAACACTTAAACGATCTTTTAAATGATATTTGGGTTGAGAACCATGTTTTACTATTGCCCGAGTGGCTTGTGAGGATTTTGACTGAGTAAGGCCGAGGGCCTATGTTGTAAGAAAACACCGGATTATGAGTATGAGGCCGAGGGCCTGAGATATGTACGCCACGAGATGGCTTGTTGATATGAGGCCGAGAGCCTAAAGATGATGCAACGAGATGGCTTGATATTGCGCTTGGGCCGTAAGGGGCCCCTCTAGGAGTCTGCACACCCCCAGTGAGCGCGGGTACCTATTGGGATGAGAGATATAGCCCAAGGGGCTGGTATTGTTCTGAGATATTGCCCAAGGGGCGGATTTGTTAACATTGTGCCCGAGGGGCGAGCCTTTATGTGTTTATCTTTCTTATTTTCTGTCATTTACCTGTTTAATTGTCGAAAAGGTATTTCCTGAAGTTTAAACTGAAATTAAATGATTTTACATATCTTTGTTGGTTTTACTGCATAATTATAGCCTGTAATGTGCCTTACGTGTTTTTATATCTCTTAGTCGTTTATTTATGATTATTACTCACTGAGTTGGAGTACTCACTTTACTCCCTTCACCCTGTGTGCAGATTCAGGTGCATCTGGTCCCGCTACCGAGTGTTGATCTTTCCAGCTTAGGCGGATCCGAAGATTCTCTAGGTAGTTTCCGGCGTTCGCAGCCCAAAGCTTCTTCCCTTATCTTACTTCTCTTTGTTTTAGATTTGTATTGAACTCTGTAGACTTTCTTGTCTTATTCCGGATTTTTAGATGCTCATGACTAGTGACACCCTGGTATCGGGTTGTGTTGGGCTGTATTCCGCGAATTGTTTTGTATTGTCACTGCTTACTTTTGTATTTATATCATGTTTAAGACTAAATGCTTATTGTTTAATTGCTTAAAACTGGATTGGAAATGTGTCGGCTGACCTTGTCTTCACGAGAGACGTCATTACGACCGGGTCCGGGTTTGGGATCGTGACATTTCTGGATTTTGAACAGTGTTTTTGTTCAGATTTATCTTTACATGAAAAGTGGCTAAATTTCGATTACTTTTGAAACTGTGACTATTTTTGAATGATCACTAGTAAATCTGGTTATTTTTGAATTTCTCCTCTATATAAATGTATGATACTGTCTTTTGCAATATATAAATGGATATATGATTATTGCATAATGAGAGAAAAACAAAGCTCAAATGATTGTTCTGAGAAAGAAAAGTAAATCTAACCTTAAGTAGAGAGTATTTTTTGTCTTTCTAATTATGGACGCTACGCAACGCAAATCCTAATTAGTCGAATAAGTAGATACCATATATCATAATCGTATTTTGCAACGCGGGTTGTACTAGAATCAACAAGAAATTGGTGTTGCAAGGATGATGCGAAAATCACTCAATGTCACTAGGAGGGTGTTTGGATTGACTTAAGCTTTTAAGCTAAAAGCCAAAAGCCATAAGTTGGTAATACCCAACTTTTGGCTTTTGACTTATTTTTGTACTTTTTATGCCTAAAAATAAGTGCTTTTAAGCATTTTTTTATCATTGCTAAACACCACACAAACTTAAAAAGTGCTAAAAAGCCAATAAGTACTTAAAATAAGCCAATCTAAACATCCTCTAGTTATGCGAAGTAAAACTTCGTGATGAAAATAAAATAAAATAAAAAATTATGACTTCACCGATCTTTTGAGGAAGGGGAGTCAATTGACTAATAAGGAATTGGCATAAGGGAAAAGAGGAGCGAAACCATTTGGAGTGGAGAGGAATTCGCTAATGGTTCGTCTTACATTTGGCAACGAGAATTCGAATTAGTCGAATCAGTTGTACTAGAAGGTTATGCCAAAAAAAAAGAAAAAAGAATGAGTTTTCTTTTTTCCTTTGCCTATGAGACATTTAGTCATACATAAAAAGAAATAACCGACTCAGTACAAAACATGCAAGTCACCAATCAACCAGGGTTGTGGTAGAGTGGTAAGTACTCCTTTATCCTTAACCAGATGTCTCATGTTCGGGCACCTAGATATAGAGTCACCTTTGTTAGGGAGTGCTTTACCCCTCAATGTGGGACTTTTCGACACGAATCCGAATTTAGTCGGGCCCCAAGGTGAATCCCGAACACTGGATGGAAAACCAAAAAAAAACATGCAGTCACCAGATTACTAAATCAAAATGCTTTTAAAAGAAGAAATTAAATTGTAACGGTGATTTCCTCCAAATACAATTTGAATAGAAAAAAATGTCCCTATATTTTTTACTAATCTCCTATATGAACTACAAAATCAAATCTTGGACATAGGCTTGTCCGAAAGAGAAAGAGCGGGTAAATTTAGCTAGCATTTGGATATAGATTTGATTGAACTTGGAAAAATGAATTTTTGAAGATGAGATGAAAAATAATTTTTGAAAATTAAAATTATGTTTGGATATGTATTTTACTTAAAAAAGAATTGAAGTTTTGTGAGTGAAAAACTTTAAAAACTACTCCAAAGCTGTTTTTGGAATTTGAAAAAATTTATTTTCAAAATCTACCAAAAAATAATTATAATCTATAAACAAAGAGATATTTGAAAATATAATTTAAAAAAACCCTCCCAATATTGTTAAAAATTGTATACTTATTGTAGTACTAAACCGTTCAGCATTCGCATTCTTCATTTCTTCAAGAGCGGTTATTTGCAAGTTCGTCTTCGACACAAATTTAATACATTCCAATACTTTGCGATTCAGATCTTTTAGCTCAAGAACAATTGGGTGATTGGAATTTTGAATGGGAAGCACGAGATTATGAGATTAGAAACCTCCAAAGCTCAACTAGTTCTTCTTGGAGTTGAAGAGTAGGAGGTTACCCGTCGTAATAATCCATTGTTTTGACCTATTTGAGGTAAGAATCGATCCCCAAGCTATGAGTTTGGCTTACAATGTTATGGGTATCATAACGTTGAAGTACAATTGGGTTAGAGATTTAATTGTGAAATGAGAACTTGGAAATTGTGGGGTTTTCATGCACAGATATAATTTTTATTTTTTATTTTTATAACAGTTGTGTTCGGACACTACAACAACAACAAGAACAATAAACCCAGTGTATTCCCATATATGGGATTGGGGCGGCTAGTGTGCACGCAGACCTTACCACTACCTTGGAAAGATAGAGAGGTTGTTTCTATAACAGTTGTGTTCGGACAGTGACATTGACAATATTAATAGATGCCTGCTTCCTTCCACCAGCAACACGTGTACTTAGAAACCAACTAGTGTTTTTTCCTCTGGTAGAATTTGGAGTTTGCAACCACAGACTTCTAGGCTACACCTATCGATGCTGGATTTTCAAGCATATTCTTGTGTCTAATTGATATGGGCACCTTGGGTAAGAGTTATTATGGTGACAGTGATCTATTGATGATTGACCTATGGATTGAGTATGGAGAAATTGTAAGGAATTTCATTGAGAATAACTATGAAAAGCATAGTCGAGAAAACCTTGAGTTAGCCAAGACTTCAGGTAACGTGCATTGTGATTTCCTATTACTTGAATTGATTAAAATATGAAGTTGGTAACTCTAAACTATGTTTTTCTTTACAGATTCATTGACGAATTGAATTATTTTGTTGATCGGAAGTTGGATTTTAGTTGCACCCAAGGCAGTGGCCTAGTGGTTAATGAAGTAGAAGGAGAACTACGAGAAACCATTTTAAATCCAGCGAAGGCAAAAATACTATGTGATTCATTTCCATCTTCCAAAGCTTAGGTGGTCAGAGTTACCTAGGCGACCACGCTAGAAGTCCACAATCACGGAGTGCCATTAAAAGCTCTTCACCGCGATCGCGCCACTCATACCGTGATCACTGAAGGTGGCAGGTACCGGTGAAATAGTCGAGGTGCATGCAAGTTGATCCAGACGCTACATCATAAAAAAGAAGTATCATTAGAGTTAATTGGCAGTGGAGGTGAGCGATGACTTGAACTATGACTTTTTTTTATAAGGTAATGAAGGTGAGCAATGACTTGAACTATGACTTATTTTTTCATAAACAAGCATGATCAGGAAATTTAATTCCTAACTGAGCATTTATTTTCAATGATTTGAGTTTTTCTATAAAGATATATGCAATTGATATACTCTGGCATATTGGGGAAAGTTTGAGATTCATAAGCTGATACTGTTGATATGATATGAACTTATGCGTTTTGAGATTACTACTGTATAGTTGATGTTAATTGCCTATTAACTTTGAATATGACTCGTGATGAAATTGGACATCAAGGTGAGTCACTATGTATATGCCACAGTATGTTTTTGTGAACTTTTGTTCTGAATGCTTTGTTCAGAAATATTGAATGTTTTCCCATTCTCTAGAGGAGTGGTGTATACTAAGTGTTTCCCCAGTTAGTAGGAGGGTGATATTTTCAATCCAAGTTGGCTGGTTTTTATTGCTCTCAGATGTAGAGCTTTTCCTTTTACTAGTTTGGACAGTATATATTTTCCCTTTCAAAGAAGGTAGTATACGTGATGTTAAGGTAGTATATCAAAGATCTTGAGCAGCATCAGGTGTTCAGAAAACAGGATAGCGATGATGCAAATCCCATTCCTTTTGATTGAGTCTCTCAAGGATAACAACAGTTTCATTCTTTTTGTAACCTGATACAGCTTTAAACACTTAAATCTACTCTATACCTTTAATAACATGCATGACACTTGTAGCTGAATGCCAACTTGCTAACTCCTGAAGATCACAAAGATGAAGGAACTCCGACCAAAACTGTCAATCATTGCAGGTAATTTCTTTTCTATCATAAGCATTTTAACAAATTGAGACTCCTTAGGTTTGGTAACAATCCAGAATAGGCATCAGATCTTCCATAAGTCTTTTATACCTAAGGACTAGCAGTGAGATAAAATTTGACAACTTGTTCAAAAGAGGCAGTTTTTATCTCTCCCACTTAACCACAATCTGTGGAGGTTTTGACAAGAAGAAAGAGGTTTAAGGGGTGGAAATATTGCACCAGATTCTTAGCATAAGAGTGCTAAGAATCTCAAGTTGCTGATGGTGTTCAAGGAGTAAGATTTCCTAATATCTTCCACGTCTAATTCCTCTGATCACAACGAATGTACTCAAGTGTTTGTAGACTTGTGAGCAGGGGAGCCTTGACGTAACTGGTAAAGTTGCTGCCATGTGACCAGGAGGTCACGGGTTCGAGCCGTGGAAACAGCCTCTTGCATAAATGCAGGGTAAGGCTGCGTACAATAGACCCTTATGGTCCGGCCCTTCCCCGGACCCCGCGCATAGAGGGAGCTTAGTGCACTTGGCTGCCCTTTTGTTTGTAGACTTGTGAGTCTCCCAGATTGCGGAGTTTCTCCATATCGAACAACTAACTGACTAAAGTTAATCAAGTTAGTTATGTGGGGAGATAATCTGAGTTAGCAGTAACCAGGGATCGAGAATGTTTGCAAATTGTAGGCTTTTGACTCTGCTTGTGGAGGGGGGGAGTTCAAATATGTTAGTACTTAATGCCAAAAATCTAGAGATGGACCAAGTTGCATATGGCATCAGTTGGAATAGAGTTAGCAAAATACATGTTCTCTAACTCCAGCACATACCGATGTTGGAAAATATTACAGAAAGAACTGTCGTAAATGTGGATAAGCAAGATGACAGTGGAACAATTAATTAAGACAATACAAAATCATTATTGCATACAATCCCAAAAATAATTCTCTTCAAACCAATTCCACACTCAAAAGAGCCAAAACAAAAAGAAATTAAACACTCATAAAACAAAACACTGAAGGTTGAGATAAGCTCTCATTGACAGCCCTGAAATAATCAGTAAAGTGACAGAAAGCTGATTAATGCTTCTACAATCCAACTTCATGAATGCGAACGTCTTGAAGTGCTTGGCAAAAATACCCCATCTGCCATTTCATATTTCATTAACTGCTGTCTGTTAAAAATTGGGATCAATAATAGTGCTTTTTATGTTGTCTCTAAATATGTTTTTTTTTTGTTTTAATAAGTCATGAAATTGAAATATATTCACACTAAAATTAGCTGACTTGATACTTGTACTGTACTCTGATCATGTTATTCTTCTTATTTTATTTTTTTGGGGTGGGGGGTGGGGGGAGGGAGGGAGAAGTAATTTAATTCCTTAATTCTATGTCCCCTCTCAGGAATGAGTTCTTCTATCATTTTATTATTTGGGTATAAAATTCTGTAAAATTATCAATGTGGTTGAAGTAGAGTCGCGCAACGGCGAATAAAATTCAAATCTGAAGTAGAGAGGTGCAATGGCCAAGTAAGTTATATGAGGCCATTTTCTAGTGCTGAAGTTAAGTCTTTGAGATGTATTGGCGCTGAAACATATGATCAACAAACAATGCATTTGTTGCACAATTGTTTTCAGAAATCCTGTAGAAAACTGGAAAATGAAAAAGGAAACTAATTGGTAACATACCCTACTTGTTTTCCCTGCACATGTATTTATGAAAGAGCAAATTTGTACAATATCAGTTCATTTAAAAGAGAATTAAAAATAATAATAAAATTTCTACACTATCAGTACATTTGATATTATAAAATCTTTTACACTGTCAAATGTATATAAGTTAAATTCTTTATCAGAAGTATGAAAAAGGAGAAGTTTTGTACCCCTTAATATACCTGTATATACCTGCAACTATCAATCCCAGACATTCTTTCAAGACACATTTTGAGATAATGAAAGGACGCATGAAGCCCATTACAGAGTTAATTTTTGGCCTTACCTACTAAATAATGTGAAATGTGAAGAGTTCAATGATCGCAGATTTCTCTCTATTTTTTCTCTTCTGAATGAAGTGGAAATTGATGTTGATTTTCCATTCTCTGGTTGCATGTAATGCACAGTTTCACTTTCAAGTTTTCTGAGTAAATTTCTTCCAGTAAAATTAGTATTGAACTGCTAGCAGTTCAGGAACAGACTTTATGACTCTGATCCCTTTCTCCCAACTATATTCTGGTTTAAGTATGAATTACAGTTTCTTTTTTACCAATTCAACCAACAGGAACAGATTCCTACTCAATAGTAATATAATTTTCTGTCTTAATATCACGAGAGCGTCATCCCAAAAACTCGAACATAAATCTCAATATTACCTTAACACTTGGTAAAGTAACAACCCAAATTGGCAGAAGATCCTAATTAACCTTAAATAACTAAATAAACCAAATCTTGCAGAAACTGAAGCTTTTAGAAAGGAAATACAACTATCTCACCAGGCATAAGCCCTATAAAATTTCACATTGACAGTGTGAGGCAATCTCTAAGGTTGCCACAAACATGCTTACTTCTTACTTTTAAAGCTAATGTCATTCAAACAGATGTCTTGGAGTTCTTGAGAATTTGGCATCTTCAGTCTGCAAGTCCCTCCTCTTTCATCTGAATTACATTAAACAGTTCCACCATTAGTATTATAAAAAAGATTAAAAGATTGACAATTATTTAAAACTACTACTCCCTCCGTTTCAATTTATGTGAACCCATTTGACTGGGCACGGAGTTTAAGAAAAGAGAGAAGACTTTTGAACTTGTGGTCCAAAATGAGGCACATATATTATGTGTGGTNAAGCCAACAAAAATCTGATCCTGATCATCTGCATAGGAGGTAGTTCTCCTCAATGTTCTAACCAGGGCGGACCGATTGTTAGACCTATTACTTGGCCCTTCTCCTGCAATAATATCGATATTTCTAATACCATAAGTCTCTCGTTTGCGAGAGATATCCATGATGCGTGTCTTGAGGGATTGGATCTCCTTGCCGACGTTGTAGAGTTTGGTCTCCTTCCTACAGATGCAAGCGCAAGACTTAAGACGACTAGCAAATCCATCGTTAGTACTGCCTTTTATTGCCACATTAGTGGAGCTATAAGTCTCCAATATAGCGACGGTGTCATTAGCAATAGAGCTGATTTCAAATATCCATTGTTGAACTCTTTGATCTTCAACTTGCTTTTCTTCTGCATCTTTGAAGAAAGATTGCATGAATAGCAGCTCATTTCTCAGCCACTGCACATTCTCTCTCAGACTTCTGCGCAAGGCAACTTCTTGTATGAGGAAATCGCCCAGCTTTTCAACTGCAAATGATACAAAAGCATCAACCATTTTCAGGAATCTTTGTTTTAATTCACTGTTATCAAGAAACCAAGTGTTGTTCTTCTTCTTGAGTGTGCAGTTGATGTCATTCCTAATGTGCTATATATATGCACTTGTATTAAGCTTTGTTCTGCTTTTCACTTTTTCTTTTTAGAAATATATATTATAAGTTTGCTTGTGTTCAGGGAAAATGCCACCGAGTAGGAAGCATATTTTGATTAAAACATCAAACAAAGAATGTATAGGGCGTGGAACAGGAATTTCAGAGTTATATTTGTCAGACAACTCATCCCAAGATTTAATCCTGATTCTGTGGAAACATCAACAGTTTTGGGATCTTTAATCAAGTAGCTGGTTTGATCATTATTTATTTTTGCTAGCCGGTATACATAGATTATGCACTGATTATACGCGTATTATACATTCTCCTGGTATTTTTTGGCACTGATTATACGCATATTATATTATACATTCTCCTGCTATGTTTTGTTTAAGCGATTGGGTGAATGGCTATTTAGGTTAATTCTTCAAAGTTTTTTTTAACCTTTTCAAGGCCATAAGAAAGTTGTAGTAGCTGCCATAAGAACAGAGCCTTTATGAAGGTTTTCAACCTTACTACTGTAGTAGTTGTTGCTCAAAGATAGAGGTGGCAAAATGGTTAAAAGAAAATAGTTAACCACCTATATTATCCACTAAAAATGGGTTGGATAATGAACTTTTTAAAAACGGGTTAAATATGGATAAGAACCATATTATCTATGTAGAAAATGGATAACCAATGAATAACAAATGAGTCTAACTTTTAAATTTGTAAAGCCTCAAATTGGAAGTTTCTCAAGTTAGGGAGACTAAGAATTCTTCTAAAAGTGATCATATACAAGAAATCATGGATAATATAATTACCCATATTATCGCCGGTTAATCCGTTTTTTGTCTGTATTAAATATGAGTCGGGTCGGATAATTTATCCATTTTTTCATTACC